TTTTTTCATTTATTTTTAAAATTATTATTATTATTATTATTATTATTATTATTATTATTATTAATATTATTATTACAAGCCCAAGACCCGGAGGCCCATTTTACAAATCTTGGAGGCCCAGACCAATCCAGGCCCAAACAGATAACCCAAACCCTTTAGGGTTTGTATCATTCATGCTAGGGTTTCAAACCCTAGCCCCCAACCGCCTCCAAGATTCCAGAAGGCCAGCCGCCGCCTCTGCTCAGCCGCCACCTCCACGTTGACGCTTCAGCTGCTGCCACGCCGCCGTCAGTGCCACGCCACCCCATCGAAGCCTCCAGAAACGCCTCGTCATCACCCCACGTCGAGCTCTATGGTGAGTCACAACCATAGCTATGGTGACTCACTGAGAAATCCTTCTGTGACCGGTCCGATGAGCGTTTCGTCGAGGCTATAAAAGCCTCGACTCACCTGCAAATAAAAGATAACGAACAGAGAGGAAGAATTGGAGACAGCCACGGAGACCAATAGCAAACCCAAAACAGAGCACGAACCAGAAACGACAGGGAACAAAAAGAAAAGAGAAGAGAGTGGAGTGGATTACCTTCAACGGAACTTCAAAACCGTCGTCGAAACATCGAAAACCCGAAGGTATAAAACCTATATCTAAGAAATTCTTGGGGTTTTTAGGAGAAGAGAAAACCAGATTCGGCTTTGGGGTTGTTAGATCTTGAAAGTGAGGTAATTTTGTACATTCCGGAGCAAGGCGGCCGGCCGACGATCGATCTCTCTCCGGCGACAGAAGCCTAGAGAGAGGGCAGAGAGTTTCTAATCTCTCTCAGTTAGAGAGAGAAGAGAAAAGAGAAAATGAGAAGATGGCCCTTTGGGCCAGCCATAATAGGGTATTTATGCCCTTTCTTAAACGGGTCGTTTAAGGGAGGACATGTGTGTAATTTGACAAGGGTAAAACCCTTTCCGCAGCATTATAATTTTAGAACTTTATATTTTAGTCACTTAATCCAATTTTAGATCTTTATAATTTGGTTCTTTAATTTTAATTTTATTTATTTTAGTCTTTATATTAAATAATATATTTAGGATAAATATCGCATTTAGTCCCTCATAATTTTATAAATTTTATTTTAGCCCTGAATAAATAATTAAGGTTAAATTAAACTATTAGGATATAGATTTCTTAATATTTCGAATTTGATCTTTTATTTTCAATACTTTATATTTTGATCATATAATTTTAATTTTATTTGTTTTTATTACATTGCAATTTTATTTTATTGTTATATATTTAAATTAGTAATTATTATCATTATTTTAATCATATTAATATATTATTTGATTAATTTTATAAAAAATTTATAATAGTATTTATTTATTTTTTTAATATCAAGAAAGGGGCAGTCTTAAAGCAACTAGATGTCCGTTTTCTGATATTTTAAATAAATAAATATTTTACTTTTATAAAATTGTATATATTAATATTTTTATAATTATTATAAAAATGTTTTAATTAATTATTATTTTTTAATATCGAAGAAAATAGATGTCTTAAGGTACCTAGAAGTCATTTTCTGACATTTCTAAATAAATAAATATAAATTAATAAATTTTATTAAAATTATAGTATTATTTTTGAAATAACAAGATTATAAATTAAATATATCTTTGAATTTTTAAATTTCTAATAATAGAGACAATTTATAATTAAAAAGTACCAATTCTGGGCGTTGTAGGGGTGCTAATCCTTCCCTAAACGTAACCGACCACAAATCCCTTTTTATTATTAAAAAGAACGAATTTTTGGTTAAAACGCAGATCAGTTTATCTTTTAATCGATGTTTTCTTAAAAACTCTTTTAAAGGATGATTTTTAGGTATTCGACCTACCTGACCTAAAAGGCCGATGGCGACTCCCAAAATATTTTTAAATCAAAAAATTTTTTATTCACATTATTTTCCTGCCAAGTAAAAAAAATTCGTGCCGGACGAAAACCGGTTACGACAGTATCAAATTGAAATATAAACTAAATATTAAATATGATTTAAAAAAATAAAATTTAGGTACTAAAATAGAACAAAAACAACCGTTTACAAGTATGGATCTGAGAATTCAGACATTGTTGGACAGCACTTTGTCACACCTCACTTTCTTTAGTGCTAAAAAGACATGTCATAAAAGAAAAAGAAATTCAAAAAATATATATTAAATTGATGGAATTTCAATATATTTTGTGCAATATCAAATTATCTATAATTCTTAAAATATTACAGCAACAATAATATAATTCAAATTAATATTTAAAAAAGAAAATTTAAACGGGAATGTTAAATGATGCGCCTGAGTCTTAATTTTGGTTCAACTCTTTAATGATGATTACTATCTGTAACCGAAACGTTCATATCGATTTTAAGGTAAAATGAAAACAATATGGGCACCATATCGGCTTTAAAGTCGATTGAAATCCATATTGTTTTGATTTATATCGAATTTTCTAATGATAGAAGCTGATGTTATCAATTGAAATCCATGTAAAGGGAATGGAGAGATCAAAGATAGAAAAGGACTTAAATGTCAATGGAAAATTGCAATTGGGCTAAAGTGGGTGAGAAAATGAGAACCACAGGTGCAGGGACAGGGACCTGACCTGGCTTCATAAGGGATAGTGGTCCTGGACTCATCTAGTGCCATGGGTGGGTACCATGGTACTATAACTATCAAGGAAGTCAAGTCACATCTTACACAACTATAGAAATGGTCCACCTTTTACATGTAAAACTCCGAGTTTAACCCGACTGATTTGCGTATACATCTAATAAATGATTCTCTCTAGATGACTCAAGTTGAAATAGTTGTGTCTGCAGAACGTATATGTTATCAATAAGATAAGAAAAATTATGAATATATATTACCTTATATTTACTACAGAGTATTCAAAAAAGAAAACGAATACATCAAAATTCAAGGCTTTCCCCTTCTTCAAGCTATCAATCGATCATTGTACAATAATAACAATGAACAAAAGCTACACTTTCATGGGTTAAAAAATAAAAATAATAATAATAAGGATAGACTCTTCATTTCACAAATGATTATAGGTATAAAAGAAGAAACAAAAATTCCCCTTCCCCTTCCCCTTCTTCAAGCACTCTCACCTCTCTTTTCTTGCTTGCTACTATGGTACAGACATCAATGGCATCAACTTATAATTCGCCCCTTCCTTTGTAATACTAAAAACTATCAACTCAGGCTAAAGCAGGTGCCAAAGATGAAAGTAGAATGCTTACTCTTTTGAGATTTTGATATATCCACAGACGAAGAATTCCTCGCTTTAAAAGGTTCCATCGGTAAACAATGACCAGGATGTTTTCAGTCTACAACTCGTGCGTAGAAAAGAAGATAAGCAGCGGATGTCTTTATCTTCTCCAGGCCGATGGGATAAACATGGCTATCGTCGAACTCGTACCATTGTCCACCCCCATGCTACATAAGAAAAACAAAATTTAGAGTCTTCTAGCCGTGCTACCATGCAATTTAAAAGGTCAATAAAAGCTTGTGTTAATAGTTTTTTCCATGGAAACAAAAAGTTAAATCATGGTTAGGTCATCAGGCTTTTAAGACAAAGGAGAAAGTGATTTTAGGTGGACGATAGATTTAGGCCGACGACAGCTGCGACTTCCGCAGCGGTGACGCTTCGACGGCAGCTTAGATTTTTGGGTTAGGGATAAGCTGACTCGGATGTTTTTATTTCTAGCCGCTGGATGGATGGATCGGAATTTTGAAGAATGACACGTGGATTTTTTTTCTAATTATAAACGTAGATTTTCGTTAATGGTTTGACGGGAGTTAATGGCCGGGACCAAAATCGAACGAATCAATACAAGGGATCAAAATCATTTTTTTTGAACTAGTGACCAAAATTGAATAGGCCGAATACATAGGGACCATTCGTATAGTTTATCCTATATTTTATTTAACTATTAGGTAATAATAAATAAATCATTTTAATTAAATTTAATTGCAAAAGTTAACTTTTAAAAAGATTTTATATTTTCAAATATTTTTATGATTAACTTGATTTTATGAGGCTCAATCGAAAACATAATTTTATAAAATATAAATTTATCAATTTTAAGTTATTTATTGTTTAGTATTTGAATTTAATTTAAACATTACTATTTAAATCTAAATCAATTAAATTAAATTATATAAGTGATTATTAAAAAGGCTAAAAATTTATTTAATAACTTTAAAAGAATTAAAATAAAAAATTAATATCTGAATTTGTTATCCATAAAAGAAAGTGAATTTAAATTACCCATGTCCGAATTCAATTGGGTTATCCGCAAAGGTAATATGGATATGGGCCATTGACATTTGAGAAATAATATATGTTGAAATATTTGAATCTAAATATTAACCTAAAATGTAACCTTTTGAATCTGAAAAAAAATTCTATAATTAGTCCTCTTTTATGTAAAAATTATGAAATTTATTATTGTATTCTAATTTGGTCAGCAGTCTCTGTATTTTTAAAATTTTAAAATGGTGAAATTGAAAAATATTGACGAAATCTATAAATATCACATAATATGATAGTTAATAGTTAAAGTTAACAAATTGCATTGCTATTGTTTGCTGCCAAATTGAAATTTCAAAATTTGAAGGGTAAATAAACAAATTAAAATAGAAAGACTAAATCCATAATTTACCCATAGTACAGGAATAAAAGAATTTGACCAAAACCAAATCTGATAGTATTTGCATTTACCTAAACCCCTATCATCGATTGCCATCATTAATTCAAGGGTAAACTATTGAAATAATCACTTTTGTTTCGTAAGTATTCACTTTTAGTCACCAAATTTAAAAAGACAGTGTAAAAGGCCTTACAACAATCGTTGTCGATACCGTTAAATTGATCACTCAAAATATAATCACAAATATGCCCAACACAACTAGAAATTACCAAGTGGATGTGTGTGTGTATATAAGGAGAAAGGAGAAAATGTCAAAAAAAAGTTTGAGGTAAAAAATGCAATAAAGGACCAGTTCTGAAAAATGAACCAAAGTACATTTATCAGTTAATGGTAAGATCATAATCTGGTTTATAACCCAGAACATTGATAAATAAAGCCTCAAGTCCAGCGGACACCTCTAAATAATACAGAGGGAAAATAATCTAATAAGTTTCTGCCATGTAAAGCAGCAAAATTCAAGCTCTAGGTGACATTAGTTCTTCCCCGTAGGTTTAGTGGTCAAACCAAAGCCAAATGGAAAGAGAGGGTCATAATGTGGATCACCAACGTTCATGGGGAGCTGGTACACGGTCTTGAACCATGTCCTCGCCAGCTTCCCGGTGAACCCGTAGTCGCCGAACAGAACATCAGCAACACCTTGGCCCTCGGTCCCCGGAAGCCAAGCGGCTACAAGTGCATCGATCGACGAGAGATATGGCTGCATGACAACTGGCCTGCCAGAGATGACGACAACTACACATTTCACAGCCCCACAAACATTGTAAATGGTGTCGGGACCAGGCTTGGATATAGTAAGATTCAGGCTGTCGCCGTTTGTTTCTGCATACGGGGGTTCTCCCACGACAACAATGGCATGAGCAAATTTTCCGGATTTGACAAACTCTGCATCAGGGTTCTGACTGTAGACAACTTGAGTACTCGGATCAACCGTATTTTTAATAGCCTGGAGGATAGTTGTACCTGTTCAAGCAAGTATCATTCAACAAAGGATTAAACTAAGTGAAACCATCTTTTTTTTCGATTTTAGCAAACCCCTTGAGCTAAGATAGTTAATAACAATGACAAATTCAGAGGCAATACTGAAACCAAAATGATTTTCGGGTTATTTTACTTGTCAAAATCTAATATATATTTATTTGTTTCAAGAGTAAAATTTAAAACGTACCGGTTGTGAGATCATTGCCACTAAGACCCTGCCATGTAATGGTCCATCCGCCGCATTGATAGCCCAAGTTATCAGCATGAGTTCCGGCAACTAGTATCTTAGTTGCTTTCTTTGAAAGGGGTAATAATGGCTTATCAGCAGCCTCACCATTCTTCAATAAGACAAGACTTTTCCTCACAGCTTCCCTAGCTAACTCCCGGTGTTCCTGTTATAGCATGTTATCATTTAGTAAAGCTCTGTTTTTATTCACCAATATGCATGTCCGGAGTCCTAACATCCGAGTCCAAGTAACACAGCCCATATTATAACAAAATGTATTCAATATACCTGACTCCCAAGTTGATTGGCCAGGCTGTTGTCAGCCATTGGATTCTCAAAGAGACCCATCACAAATTTGACCCTCAAAATCCGCTTTACAGCATCATCAATCCGGCTCATGGGAATGATATTGTGCTTAACCTGATAGGTTAAGTCATCAATGAACTCTGTGAAGCTATAAGGAACCATAATCTGCATGACACCAGAAATTGCATTAGAAAACAAGAAACTCAATTTGGCAAAGTAACATATGTTAAATAAAGATCGGTACACTAATAGACTCGAACTTTTGAATAGCTAGGCATGGATAGTGCTAAATGTTGACTGACCATATCAATCCCGGAACCAACTCCAGCTTCCACAGAATATGAGTAGTTAGCATGTGGAGGAGAAGTAATCCTGTCAAGACCCTGCCAATCTGATATAACAAAACCCTGAAATACAGCAAAAGAAATGAGTCAAGCCAAATGATTTATACCGGGTAGAGAAAAAAATTATAGTTCAAGTCATTTTTCTTTACCCTGAACTTGAGCTTATTTTTCAGGAATCCGGTCACGAGATCACGATTGGCATGCATCTTTACCCCATTCCAGCTAGAATAGGATACCATAACTGTTGCGACACCCTTTCTAATAGAGTTAAGATACGCAGGCATGTGGATGCTGAGTAATCCGTTCATGCTAATCACTGTATTGTTCTCGTTTATGCCCTTTGTCGTACCTCCGTCTCCCAAATAATGCTTAGCACAGGCTGCCACCTTGTCCCTAGAAAAAAGAATTAATTGATTATGGAAAATTGTTACTCTCCAATTAAGAACATTGTCACTTAATTCAACCAATTCGAACTAATTCCTTCATGGCTAATTCGAAAGTGTACATTACAAGAACTTATAAATCTTCATAACTATTTTAACAAGATACTTTTCTTCCAGCAGTGGATTTCAACAGCTATCCATGTCCGTATTACCATCCACGGACCCACTAAATACATGAATGACGTAGAAAAATTTGGCATACCAGTGTCGGACATATACCATATCCGACACGCACACCCAAATCTGAGTGGCATAGCAGCTAACCACCTTGCAAGCAGCAGAGCAGATAATGGAACCTCATCTACCTAACAAGGTATGACAGAGAACAGATTGGTGGACCGAGTACTTTTGTTCATTATTCAAGTGATGTTTTACATTTAGAGGACTAAATGGCCCACAATGAAATCCTACCACATGATCACACCTAAAGATATCTACAACATTTAAAACGAATTTCGGAAACTTGTAGTTTTGGGGGAAACGCTCAGCGTCTTAGTATACGGCTAAAATAAGGTGCAACAAGTTTTGTTATTATTTTAAATAACAAAACCGGTAAAAAATGACCGAAAATATCATTATTTTGACCATTTTTAATTAACTATATAGGTAATTAGAACCAGTAGCGCCTTATTTTAGCCGTATACTAAGGCGCCGCACCGCAGAACTGCCCTAGTTTTGGAGATCGGCATTATAAGTAATATTAGGAACACAAGATTTATTAAGTGGTTGAATAATGATAAAGACTCTTACTTTCCAGAAACAAAAGGAACACCCTTTTTAGAATTGGCAGGGAGTTCTCCTTGTAAACCAGGTATAATCTCGGTCATTAGTTGAACAATCTTGTGATCCTCGCTATAGCTTTCATAGCATCGACCCCACCTCGGATCCCTGCAAACCTGTGAAAGATTTTACGGTATTATAAAAGCAAACAAAAAATTAGTACACATGGTCGATCCTTTTCACAATATTTCAGCATCCAAGAAATGTTTTGTGTTTAGTTACCGCTATGCATGGGGCAAAAGCATATGGGATTCCTGTGGCTCTAACTTCTAGAGCAGTTACAGCTCCAATCTTCTTGACAAGTTGAGGATCCCTGCAGATTAAAAAAGGGCTAAATGATTCCGATAAACAATTATAATGTCACCTTAAACTCTCATTATTCTTCTTGATGGAAATTCTCATAATGTTGTTCGTTTTCTTGTTGCTCCAAAAAGCACAGTAGTATGGAAAACTACATTCATGGTTAAACTATTCGATTATTTAAACGACATGCAATGAGAATCGCAATTGCTCAAACTTCCATCCACATATGCAGGCAAAACTATCTGAATCTCTATATCTAAGGGAAAATTAAAAACCTTAAATAATCACTTGCCTGGTCACTCCAAGACCAACATTATGAGGGAAAATGGTGGCCTTATACACATTGTTGTGACCATGGACTGCATCAATCCCATATATCATCGGAATACCAAGACGGGTGGATAAAGCCGCCTTTTGCATGGTATTTACCATCTCGATCCAAGCTTCCGGAGTAGCTTTAGGAGCTGGTACACTCCCGCCACCACTCAAAACACTCCCTTCACAAAAGCCATGAAACCACCTCCAATTACAAGACAACTCATTTATGATAATTAAAACAGCAATAACATAAGAAAAAAAATTTCATTTGTTTTTTTCATTACATATCTACTGGTAAATGAAACCAATTGCACAAATCATAGAGGAATTACCATCAAACATACAATCTCAGAACAAAAAATAAGACATGCAAACAAACATGAGAAAAACTAAGATTGTTAAAAGATGTATTCAGTTTTATACCAATAAAGTAGTTCTTCATCACATCTGGGGTAGCAACTGTGCGCTCGATCTGAGTCATTTGGCCAATCTTTTCAGCCAAAGTCATCCTACTCATTAAGTCTTTGATCCTAACACCAAATGGCTGCTTTGGGTCTTTGTATTTCACATACGTTGCTTCTGTAACAGCTGCTAAGCAGCATAAAAGTATAAACCCCAACTTGGGTATTGAAAATCTACCCATTTTTTTTTAGTTCCCAGATCAAGCTTTTGCTCTGAAAATCTGAAGATTTAAAGAAAATTAGAATGGTATGAAGCTAAAAAAAACATAAAGTAACTATTTTTATAGAGAGATAAACCAGTAGATCGTATGTAAGAGTGAGGATTCAATCTTGGAAATGACAAAAGACTTCACAAATCTTTTGTAAGCTAAAACTCAAATACTTGTAGCATTTTTTGCTATCAGCTAAATTAAAACACAAGTATTTTCATAGCTATCACGTGACTTAAAAGATGAGCATTTCCATTGTTATCAGCTGAGTTGAAAAGATAAATAACAGAATCCAAAATAAAAAAAAGGCAAACAGTCTAAAAAAGATTTGAACTAAAACCCAGTATAGGAAAAATGAAGAAGAATGAATGCAAATGCTATATTGCTAGGAGGTGTTTCAAAAAAAGTTTGAACTTTGAACTTGAACTTACTGGAAACAACAAAGTACCTGGGAAATTATACAGAGAGAAGAAGAGAGAGATGATGAAGTTGTAAGACTATTGAGTGAGAAAGTAGGAATGATGAGAACATGATAGTGTCAGCTTTTTATAGAGATAAATGAGTAGAACGTTGGTCCCATTACCCTTTTTTTTCTGGGTATAGTAACCTATGCTCAAATAACATTTTTAGTCATTAAACTTTCAAAAATAATAAAATAATAATTAAATTGATTAAATTATTATAAAATAATCATTTAATTTATTAAATTATTATTATTTTATATTAAAATATTTTTGTCATTAAATTTATTGAATAGTTATAAAATAATCATTAATTTATTAAACTTTATGATCATAAAAAAAAATTATTATGACTATTTTATAACGGTTTGATAAATTTAATAATTATTTTATAATTTTTAAAAATTAAATGACTAAAAATCATTTAAATATAGTTTAAGGATCTCTAAGATACTCTATCCTTTTCCTCCGTTTGTCTACTAGTCGTTTTTCTAACAAATATTCTGTATTTGTATTCTTTTGTCTCCTCCATTTGTATTTTATCCTCGAATTCAAACTTGGAAGTTAATTCAAATTACATGATAAATAGGGTAAATTATGTATTTAGTCATTTAATTATTCTTGTAGTTTTGTTTTGGTTATTTAACTATTTTTAAAATCATATATAAAGTTATAGTTTTATTTCATTTTGGTCACCAATTATTAAATAAAACTGCTGATGTGATATTTTTTTTATTTATTTAATGATGGTGTGATATTATCTTATGATAATATATCAACATCACCGTTAATTGATTAAAACATAATTTTAGTTATGATTTAAAAAAACAATTAGATGATTAAAACAGAACCGTGTGAATGATTGGGTAACTAAATAAACAATTTACCCTAACTAATATTATAATTTATAATTTCCTTATGTCACATCAATTCAGGTTTAATTCTCTCAATTATTTTGTATTATATTTAAAACTATGCTATTTATAGTTTTTATAAGACAAAAACGCTTAGATATTATTGTGGAAAATCACTCCGAATATTTATTAAAGTAGGATGATTGTTATATTATCACCTAAAAGATACAATGATCACAATACGCTTTTAACTTTCTTGGGGAAGATGTGTGAGTTATAGTATATCTTTTTCATACACACTGCATTATTCTGCCTCCGTCTCGTTAATGCGTCTTACTGAAAAAAATCAAATACATATTATGATTTCTACATCTTGTTTAAGATGTATTGTGGTCTTGATATCTTCTAAATTTTATTATTATTATCATCGGTTGATTTGCTGCTGTAGGTTCATAAAAAATATTAATTAAATTAAGGTATCGTTAGAATTATTTCTCAAGATGATGTGAATGTTACCGTAATCGGAGAGTCAACATAGTGCATCTTCCGGGGAAGGCGTCGGGAACACAATGCGTCTTCTTCTTTTTTATGATGTTGAACTAGTTGAAGACGCACTGTCTTTCCGATTACTTTTGACGGTACTGTAGCTTTTACACTAGATTATAAAATAATTATGGTAAAACCCTAAAATCATCGAATACTATAACATTCACACTAGATCAAAAAATAATTTCGAATAGATCTTATTTCAACCAATAATTTATTTTACAACACTATATGAGCAATTCAACGAAAAATTATCCTACTTCAAAGAATAAACTGACGAGGGATTATCTGAAAATTCTTTCTCATCATATCATTGTATCAGCCTTTCTGCTATTTATATAACTTCTATAATTTTTGAAAAATTTAAATAAATTACATATTTTAAAAAAATTGAATAAGTAATTAGTTGTAGATGTCTCTAGTCTCCCCCATCAATCACTTGTAGGCCATCTCTTTCAAGAAGATTAGGTTTCGTATTTTATTTTGATTAATCGTACACGCCTCCCTTGTACAACCCCATATCTTAGAACGCGGCATAATGTGGGGGATCTGTTTGTTTTTTCCATTGATTTTTATTTATTTATTTTCTGTATATTTATATCCTTATAAATCATGAAAGTCAAATTTAGTTCATGAAAAATATCTAATAGGAAATAAATTATACGTAATGCATTTTCCCAATGAGAATAATACTTTTTTATAAATATTTTTTTAAAATGCTAATTTTTATTTTAATAATATATTTACGAATATAATAATAAATAATATATATTGTATAATTAGAATTATAATCAAATTCAAAACAATATAAAATCATATACTAAATAGGTATGATGGTAAAAAAATGTTATAACGTTTGATTAAATAGTTACTTTAATTTTTTTTGTGAAATTTTGATCTCCCAACGTTTTATTTTAGAACAAAAATCTTCCATGAGTGGAAACCGTTAGTTAACAGATGACTACCACTATAAAATAGGGATCTTTTATCCTAAAATAAAATGACGGGGTGAAAATGATTATTTAATCATACGCTAAGAGTCCTTTCATCCTAAAATAAAACATCGAGATTAAAATACTTCAAAAAGAATAGAGACCAAATTGACACAATGTCATCTTTTAAACATGATATAGTACAATAAAATTTCTAGTTCCCAAAAGATGAGTCGATGTCATTATTGGTCCCTCCCGAATAGTTGTTCATCTTCCTAACGTGACTTTTCACCTCTTGAAAATTTGAAACCAAGATCCCTGAATCAAAACCCTAAATACCTAAATCCCAACATATATCCATCCCAATCAATGTGTGAATGGTTTGAGGGTGGTCCGTGAGTGAGTGGCTAGCGGGTGAGTGAGTGGCTAGCGGGTGAGTGAGTGGTCGGTTGTTGTTTTATGAAAAATGGAAAAAGTTCAATTTTTTTATAAAAATAAATCACTTGTCAAATACTGATTGATTAACTTATTTTTAAAGATTTTTTAACGATCATTACGTCGTAGGCATCTAAACGATAACATCGAAAACGTTATGCCCCTAAATTTATCAACAACATAAATGTTTATGATCCTAAATGCGAAAAGATGTATAGTTTTTACACTTCTTTTTATATTAAGCTTAAACTTAATCATTTATGTTTGAAATTTTCTTTAATTTAGTATTTTTTATGATAGTATCAAACTAAATGAGTCAGATCAAAGCATTAGTTGGATAATTGTATCCTACACAAAATAACATGTTAATGATAAAAACATTTGTATTTAAAATTTCATTGAATATTAATGATTGAACAAGATTGGCTTAAGGCCTTATAAAGTACATGTATAACAAAGCATGACTTGAAGATGGGATTGATCGATGATCCGTACAATTAATGTTAACTAATTATATGGTTGAGCAAGATTGACTTGAAGCCTTACAAAACATGTGTAACAAAATCTATGACTTGTGATTGGTCGATGATTCGTACAACCCGCACTTAATACCTTGAACGTATCAATAAAACATAAAAAAAGATATCCTCTTGTGTATAATAAATAATAATTTCATATGAAATATTTCCCCTTTTATCACACAAAACAACAAACACAGTGTCTCCATTGACACAATTCAATACCATATAAGATAATGAGAATTCTAAACAACGAAAAAGTAACATTATTTATAGGATAAAAACAAGTAATTTATGAGGAAAAAAAGGTTAAATTGATCAAAATTTTAAATTTTGAAATGATAAATTTTTTAAATTATTTAAAATTACGATCAAATTGATAACATATATAACTTCTAGAATAAAATTATTATTATACTACATGCTTTTTCAATTTTAACAACAAGATGGTTTGTTTGTAATTACATTTTAATTGAGTGATTAAATTGTAGTTTTCAGAAAAAATATAACATTTTTTAGTTGAATGAACTAGATTCAAATGATTCTTTTAGTCACCAAATATTCAAAAGTTATAAAAAAATTAAATAATTTATCTAATTTTTATAAAATAATTATTAAATTTTATCGAACTTTCAAATAATTGTTTTGCTGTTGTACTTTCAAAAATTATAAAATAATCATTAAATTTTTATTATTTTTTTTATAAAGTAATTATTATAATTATTAAAATGATTATTTTATAATAAATTAATTTTTTTAATAACTTTTAAAATTTAATGATTAAAAAAATTATTTAAATATAATTTACACACTTTTTATATACTTTATTTTAAAAAAATGACAATATTAGAAGTGAAGGTCACGTATTGTTGAACTTGAATTGTACGTTGTTACAAGTATTTTGGAAGGTTGAGCCACCGACATCCTAAAATCTTGTTTAAAAATTATTATAAAAAATACTTTATTAAAAAATAAATAATTTGAATCTTATCAAATTGTTCTAGGCGATTGAGATGAGGGTTGTCGGTGAAGACAAAAGGATGATTAAAGCATGGAATATTTATTTACTTTTTTTTAGAAGAAAACAAAAGACTATGTAAAGTGGGAACTTCTACCCGGGATTAAAAACGGTTAAAATAAAGCGTTATCGATTTTGTTATCGTTTAAATAATAAAATTAGTAAAAATTATTTAAAATTTTCCGATAATTACCTAAAATATTATGTTAATCCGGTCATTTTTTAAGTCTAATAATGTTTTTAGTTTTTTTTTATAAAAATCTGATAAAAACACCCAATAATAACAAAACCAATAGTACCTAATAATGTTTCCGGTAATTTTTACCGATTTTATTATTTAATACAATAATAAAATCGATAACGTCTTATTTTAACCGTTTTTTAGTATGTTGCACAGGAGCTATCCATGGGTAAAAGGAGCCTTCGTGGGAATATAGCCGTTGTGATGTGGAAATCAAATGCCAATGTATGATCAAAAGTGGGCTCCAACCGACTCAAATAAGCCCGATGGTGTTTAGATTTAACTACTTAAATTCAGATTAATAATAAGTAATGAAAATTAAATGTATAATTATTTTAATTATATCAATAATTAAATGGTCACGTTTATTTAATTTTGTTGACGTTACATTTATTTTGAGGAGTGTATCAAGTAATTTATCCTTATCCTCTATATAATGGACCATCATTCTATTAATCGTATATACTCAAATTTATTGAATCATTTTAACAAATAAAAATATATTTTTTAAAATTTTGTATTCGAGTGATTATGAGATATGCTATTCCGAAGAAAATCACAAGTGAATTTTCCCATCAAATCAGATTTGTTTCACATAGAGATATTCAATCACTTTCACGTATGGGCTCTATCTGTACCTTAACATCCCTCCTCATAGTCACGAAACTAAAAGTCAACGTACTTTTCAAGATCAACAACCCAATGCAACTGCTTTAATGCCATTTCACACGACAACAGCCCGTCAATAAGCAACCAGGGGACCAGATAATGTCCCGAATCTAAAAAGCTTGGTAAGAAAAACACTCGGATATTTTCAGATTCACCAACAATAGTTTTCGATCTTCAAAGTTTAGCTCGCATAAAGTTAATGGTTGTTGATGACACCAAATATATCATGATGGTTATAAGTGATTCATTTCTTTTTATTTGGATGAAGAGATACCATTCGTGATAAAATAGTTGTTAGTCATCGTCAAAATGCTCGAGAATGACCTTAGATGCACGTGTCAATTGTAGGGTCATAATGACCTAAAGAATATGAGAGAAAAAGATAAATAAATTAACCGGTCAGACCAAATACACTTGCTTGTTCGCATTCTACTTGCTGTAAAGTTTCCAGAATAGAGAGATATGCTTGCGTTGATAGTTCACGTGACATGCAACAAAACCCTGTCGTAGACGGAGTTCCAAACTGCAATGGTACAAAATGAAGAAACCATCTACAATATTCACACCATTATCAATATAAAATATTCCGATATTATTCATAAAATTCAAAATTTCATTCATTCCCAATTTTCTTTTTTCTAAAACAAAGCTCGTAATAAACAAATTAAATCCTTACGGCACTAATTTCTACACAAAAAATTTTAGATCAAAATCATCGAGTGTAACAAATTCGTTTATATACATAGTTTTGGAGCACTTATCTTTGCATCGGATTGCCATAGTCTCCTACTAAATGACTTGAAGAAGGCGACTGTTGCAGTTAGGCGCCTGTTGAACAGTACTAGCGGGACCCGAAACCATGTTCCGATATACATCCATCACATCGTAATCAATCGTCGTAATGTCGTGGATGCTCGATCTTTTTCTCGCCTTTCTCCCCGAATACAGTCGGAGATAATACTTTTGGGCGTGACTGGCCACCTGAATCGGCGTCCGAGTTACCACCACATTTCTTGATATACTTCGCCAATCACCCTTGCCGTATTTACTCAGTCCAAGCAAAAATAACCTACAATATATTAAAATGTATTAATTGAATTCAACATGTAATTCAATACATAAACGAGATAATAACAAAATCAAGTATCAATGTATAAAATAATAAATATTATTTTAATAATATTTAATTGATTCGAACTTGTCAGGAATGTGAATAATCAAGTTCACAATCAATGTGTATGTATATACATTAAAAAAAGAAATAAAAGTAAAAATGAACGTACTTATGTTCTTGTAATGTCCAAGGAGTTCCCTTCTTTCTTTCACCGTCTCCCTGCTGTTTTGATTTTGAACCGAAACCGATTTGATAATTCGAGTCGAACTCCGAATCAAACATCAACCAATCGTCACCGTAATTCGGAAACTGAATTCGACCGGCATCAATCTCATAAACATCACGAACAAGAATCTCAAAATGTTGTTCGATTTCTTCACCCGACTTTCCCGGAATCCTGGAGGCGATCATCTGCCACCGATCAGGAGTTCCCTCCGGAAACGCAACCAAACAACACTCAAAAACCTTGTCCTCGAGATGCGTCCACTCGCTCCAACCCGTCGTCGGCGTCGGCGTCTCGAAAAACAACAGATTACTGTTGTCGTGATCTTGATACATGCCAAATCTTTCTGCTATTAAATAAACCTTTTTTGTTTTAGGTTTCCAAGTTTGTGTTGAAGTAGGTGAATATTGATTTTGTTGGATAAACATAAAAAATATAACTTTGTTTTTTTTGTTTTTTTTAATCGATGGGGTTTAAAGTCAGGGTTTTGGTTGAATCTTCGATTTTGTTTTGGTCAGTGTTTTTATTAGCTTAGACTTCTATTTCAACCCGGTTTCTAAATTGTTGGAAATTTTTTATTTTTATAAATTTAATTTATCTTATACATAGATAGGGTTAGATTAAACATTCAAATATTTTTATATTACTTTTACACTTAAATTAATGATAGGTCTATTTAAAAAAAATTACGTACTAAATAAAATAAAAGTGACAATTTAGATAATAAAGTGTATTTTGTCCTTTTAATATTTACTTAATAAATACAATTTAATTAGTAGTATATTTCGGTGTGACGTTGACTGTAGAATTTTCTATAAACATGATATATGTTCATAATCTTTCTTAACTATTGATAAATCACCCACAACTGTTCGAACCTAGAACATCGAAGAAAAAGAACGCTGCCTTCAACCAATGAGACAAATCAATAGTATCTTTTTAAGTTCATCTTTTATTTAATTTGACTTAATTTATTATTAATGAGTTATTTTTTATTAATTTAGGATGATTACAATGTAGTATTGTTCTAAAAATTCACAACCATCTACACTGAAATAAATTATGTTAAGAAGACCACTTCATAATAAACATGTTCAATATCTTATTCGAAATAGTCATTAATAAATTAGATATCAATAATTATACTAATATATATATAATTAAACTTAAAATATTTTTAAAATTGATAAATAATTATTCAAATAGGACAAGTATATTTTAATTAATAATATTTGATTTGAAGGGTTGGTGAAATAGATGATCGTAATAAACATATATTTGTACAACTATAATTAGTTCAATCTATATAACGTAATAATAGAACTATAAGTATAATTAATATATCTATATAAATATAATTATAATCAATAATTATAAAAACAGAAACTAATAATCTAATAATAATATATAAACTTAAACTAAAATAAATATGGATAAAATTTAAAATAAAATAAAATTTACACAAAAATTTTAAGGACTCAACATTTATAACACACATGAATTCCCCTTGGCCATGGAGTTGAGATGAGTGCAAGAATGATGAAGCTGTGGTGTGTGTTTAGTGTTGATTGTAAAGTGCTGCTGTATTAGTTGTTATATATAACACAGCCAAGTCTCATAGGAAAAAGGTTGTTTTCTTTTTATAAAATAATAAAAGTAGCTAGTTTTATTAAAAAGAGAATATATTTAAAAATTTATAATTATTATCGTAAACTAAACATATAATAAAAATATTTTTTATAATCATTAACACAATGAGTTAATTACTTAAGATCATACAAGAACTATACAAAGAAAATATTAAAAAAATTAACTAAAAAATTTAATATGATCATATTAACAAATGAACTATAAAAAGAGATCAAACTATAAAAAAAAAACTATCGATAAACCCATATCCGATGAAATGAAGCCAACCGACATACTATTATAATTTTTATGTGCAGAAATCATAATATTTCGTATTTGCAGATGAAATGAATGAAGGCTGCAACTTGTGAAAGAGCCACCATTTTCATCCAGAAAACAAATGGTCACCCCATACCCACATTGGACCATTGGTTGAACACCTCTCGTCGAGGCGGCAACCGAGCTTTTGACGGCCAACAACGCGTTGCTTCTGGACCAAACAAAACCAGGAACAATGAACAACCGACATGGATTCCATGTAAAATTTAATTATCTTTTCTGGAAAGTAGTTGGTCTTTTTTTTTATGTTCACTGTTCGGGATTTCAACTTCTCAGTTCGCTTTTAGGAAATGCATCAATCAAACTGTGATGCCCATTTCAAATATTTGAGTTCGTTGTTTTTGTGTACATCCACGACTTCAAGAGGAATGTGTTTTTCATACATAATAAAATAAATTACGTGAAATTTATTATTGAATTATAAATTAATATAATTCTTAGCATTAAGTTTTGATTATATATACGATTATATTATTGAGTCCTTGACTCTTAACAAATATATGATATGATATTAACGAAAAAGTTAAAAAAAAATAAATTTTAGTTTTATTTCATCATCTTCTTCATCAAAGTTTGGATATTCTTTACTTATTTATAAACGTTAATAACCTTCAATCTTATGCGTCTTTCGTATTATTGTAGATATCGATGAATTCATCATATTACCTTTCACCACTTTATCAATTTAAATTTTTCTAAAACCTCTCTATAAAACTCACGAACTTAATATAATCCATCATTTTCAAAAGTTTAAGGATTTTCTTGGATTAAAAGATTTGGAGTGTTTGTTCGAAAATTCAAAATAATGAAAAATATTATTTTGAGAAGTCGAATAGCATACCTCAAAATTATCCTCATCATATATCATCAAATGAGAACAAAGTATTAATTCGTCAAACCTTTAAATAAATTTTCGTTTTTAAAATCAATTTGAAGAGAAGAAAGAGGAATGAAATACAAACATTTTAATACTGATCTTGTCACGATGGGTAAAGATTGATTGATAATGACTATTGAAAAATTTAATGCCTATAATTAAAAAAAATTAAAATTTAGTAGCAAAATGTTGGGATTATAAAGAGGCTCAATTAACAACCGAAAAAGTGCAAAGGGGTTAAATGGATAAAATTGAATTTAGGGAGCAAGGATAACAAAAAGATAAGACAATTTGGCACAATGATTTAAAGTGGCTCGACTTATCAACCAAGTCTACATCCACTACCTAAGCTCCTCACTTAGGATTTTCTAACAAATTCACTAATTTGTTCTTTCTTTTTCAATGAGAAATAGATAACCTTTACATTCCCTATCTTTTCAATTGGCTAATATAGAACCAAAAACCCTTTACAAAAAGGAAAGAAATGTAAACAAGAAAATCCTAACAAGGTAGGTGTTTACAAATTGAATTTCACTAAAACACAATATCTACAAGAGAATTGAAAATAAGATTGGAAAACTATTCTCTTGTGTTTGATTGCTTGAATAGGTGTTTCTAACCCTTCTTCAAGTGTCCTCAACTTGTATTTATGTGATGGAATGTTGTTGTGTCCGTTTCTAGCCGTTGGATGTGGTTTAGAGCCATTGGAGATCAATTTTCGTGCAAAATAAAGTTGCACAGAACAGAAGGTATCAGTACTCCTAAAGGGAGTATCGGTACTATCTTTGTTTTTTTAAATCAACTAGCCGTTACTAGTCGTTGGGGCCTGATGGTATCGATACTATGCCTATGGTATCAATACTACTATACAGGGTATATCGGTACCCCTTTAGATATCAGTACCATTTTTGCATTCTGGAATTTGAGCAATGCTGGTAGTATCGATACTACCTAGTGAGTATAGATACTTCCCTTACCTTGGTATCAGTATCATATGAACAATATCGATACTGTTCATGAGGTATCGAACAATATCGGTACTTCTTGTATGTGAAATCATTTTGTGCTCAATTCCAAGCTTTAAGAACTTTGAATTATTTTTGAAAACTTTGAAAAACTTTTAACAAATTCAATTCAAGTCCATGCCTTAAATTGTTATATCAAAATATAGTTCAACACAAAATCAACACACAATTAAAAAGTTTATACAATCTTCATCGTATTGATGAAAAATATAGTATGTGTCAATATTTCATTTATTCATTAATAACCTATTGATATAATTACACGTAAAAATAAATTTTAATATTAAAATAATATCAATTTATAATTCAATAGTAATTTCAATAAAAAGTTAAAATTCAATAGTATCAAATGTAATTAATCCTACGTAATAAAATTGTCTTTTATTCTGCATGAAGAAATTACGTAATAAACGTGAATACGTTCCTGCATGTACGTTTATATATACACACATATTAAAGGTTTTAGCCTAAGTTTTTGCCAATTGTCCACTGCAAGTACTTCTGAGCACTGTCAAGCCCGCAAAGCTCCTTCACCACAGGCATGGTGGCTGGTACCTCCATTCGGACCAATGCCGAGCCAGCCTCCTTTTCGCCACCCCATGAAAGGACTTGCTGTTTCGCTTCTCTTACAGCTGCTCTTGCGGCACAGTGAACCAAAACCGCTAACGTTAATGGCGGCTCACCGGAAGCTGCAAAAGAGAAAAGCAGTAGAAATTTAGAATGAAGTATGATATCCAAGTATTCAAATTGCAGTCGCAATGTGCATTTTCAGTCGCGTCGCGTTTATAAAATCGACATGTAATTGAATGACTTACCTTTGGAAGAAAGAATACGGTCTTTATGATGCCCACTGTTGAGGATTTCAACGTTGAATTGCTTTGGAATGGTGTCCACTGTAGGGATCTTGTAAGTCCATGTGTCATCTGTGATCACTAATCCATCTGAATTCGTGAGGTATTCTTCGAGCATGAAAAACCCGGTTCCTTGAACATAAGCTCCTTCACTCTGTCCCAAATCCACGGCGGGGTTTAAGCTTTGACCGCAGTCGTATATGATATCTGTCCGGAAAATCATCGTTTCACCTGTTATAAGGCTTACCTCCACCTGCAGAATCAAATCTTCGAAGCTGGTAAACTGTGAAAGCAATCTAAGACTATGGTATGATCTATTATGACTACTGTATTGTGTTCATCGGCTCGAATCTGAATGTACTTCAGCAAGAATTACATTACTTGTAATACAAGCATGAAACAAAAAACAATGAAATCAATCCAAGACTGTGGTATGATCTGTTATAACTACTATATCGTGTTAATTGGTTCGAATTCGAATGTACCTTGACGAGATCTGCATTACTTGTAATACAAGCATGAAACAAAAAACAATGAAATCAATCCATGACTGGGGTGTGGCATGATCTGTTATAACTACTATATCATGTTAATTTGTTGAATACGAATGTACT